TATATATGTTGTAATTAACTTACATATAATGAGCGTAATAAACCAGCAAATTCTATATTTAATATAAAGTATCTTCATAAGGAGGTGCGTTCTGTTAAGTAAACAGCCAACATAAAACTTTGCCAAAACTTTCCATAAATCCTGAATCTATGTTATCTGCTTCAAATAGTTGGAAAAGGCTCTAATGATGATGATGATGATGACAATGATGATGATCTCCATAATCAATTACAATAAAAATTTGAAAGATAAAAAAAATCAAACATTTGAAAGAATCCAAAGTTTCAAAGTAACAAGGTGTGAATCATGTTTCATATAAGTAACACAACCACAAAGTCAATATATATATATATATAGATATAGATCTAGATATATATATTGTAATTAACTTACATATAATGAGCGTAATAAACTAGTAAATTCTATATTTAATATAAAGTATCTTCATAAGGAGGTGGGTTCTGTTAAGTAGGCAATCAACATAAAACTTTGCTAAAACTTTCCATGAATCCTGAATATATATTATCCTGAATAAACTCACAGGGGTACATGTGTATCAAGATCGACCATGACACCCAGATACCGCTAGAAATATAGCTTGTGCATCAGTTTTGGTGACTTATATATGTTTTTGATAGCAGACACAGAAATGGCATTTGTTCCATGTCTCCATCCATCATGATACGGGAAGAAAACGTCAATTGGTTAAGTTTAGATGCTTAAAGTTTAAGGTTAACAAGAGTAAATCAGTCTTAACTCGTCTATCTTAAAGGTGAGAGCAAAAGTGAAAATAAAGAACACAAGGTGTAACAAGTGACTGATATACCTGGGGAAATCTTCGCAAAACGAGTCCCAATTTTCGAATAATGTATAAATCTACGGTTACAGTCTCAAGCACAAATGGACGCTGCACTTTAACAGCCACTATGTCCCCGTTTTCTCTCAGTCGCCCCTTATATACTTGCCCCAAAGATGCTGCATCAAGGAAAACAATTTATGGATATTATACACAGCTTTAAAAACTGAACTAAAGGATCGCATGTCCAGTTGTTCATAAAAGATTATAATTCTTTGAGATCATCCCCACAAAATAGCCAAGAGAAATAGAATCAGAAAGGTCAAGATGAAAATGAACTTGAGAAAAGAATGATTGCAAATGCAAAGAAGAAATTCACCAAAAAAGTAATAATTATAGAAGAATACCAGCAGCTATAGGGGACACAGTGAGCTCAGAATAAATCTCATGCCATGGCTGACCAAGTTCCTCTTCTATGAGAGTCATTGCTACATTATCTGGGAAAGAAGGAACCTTCAATATTATCAAGCAGAAGCTAATCAGAAAGTTCCTGTGAAATCGAAGGATAAAAAGACAGCATATACAAGGAAGAAGAAAATATTACATGCAGAACATTGGCACCATTCTACCTTTACGATATTGGATATCCATACAAAATGGTCAAGAGTTCAGAATAGCATGTGTCAAAGATAAAGACAGCAAGCATTGCAAACAGTCTTCAAATGCAAGCGAAAAATGTTAAGTACTAGATCTGAGTCTGTGAAAATACTCCCAAAACGAAGAAAACCTAAGATCTATAAACTCGTGAAGATGCTTAGATGGCACCTATTAATTTTTGGAACGCCCCTAAGTTTGGTAGGAAATACAAATCTCCTAGTTTCCTCAAAAAAAATGGCCACATAACATCTATCAATCGGAAAGAATCACAGTCCGCAACTTTTTATGTTCACAGATAAATGACAAATATACTGACGTCTTTGAGTTTCAACATAGAAAGCAGTGGTTTAAAAAACGGATCGGTGCCCCGGATCGGGCACCTCAAAAACCCATCCGGATCGGTGAATCGGCGATCCGGATCGGGAATCCGCCGAATCGGTTCGATTACGCCTTAAACAAAATCCAAAAAAATTATGAAAATTCATTATAAATGTAATTTTTTAAGAATCCAATAAGAAATACGCGTATTACATTAGTAACTTTCATTTTTAATCAATTTGTGAATAATTAAGATGTTCTTTCCCTATATGAACTTATGTTAACCATTAAATTTGCATCACATAAAACAAAAAACATAGAATTACCATGGATAAAATATATAACCATACATAGAATACAATAAATAATGGATTACATCGATGAAAAATGGCCACTAAAATCTCGAATTGGCGGAAAACCCCAATCCACTAAAAACAAAACACCAAATTATTACAACCGAACTAACTATAATCCAAAATTATTACAACCTATCTAACTATAATATTATATATTGCAACGAACATTGTTGGTTTATATTTTGTTATATAAATAATAACAAATTTTAAATATTTTATAATATCATTTAATTTAAAATGTATTATTGACAACTATAAGAAAAATAATGCATTACAAGATTTATAATGCAAATAAATAAATAAAATATTTGATTACCAATATAGAAATTATTCGAATGCGCATCAATTTTCGAAATAACACTTCAAATTTTCAATTTTTTAGAATTCTAGAGTAAATTTAATGGAAGAGATTGTTAAAGACAGAGAGATATTTCAAATGTGTATGAATCATATCTTGAAATTAATATTCCTAAATTTATGTTAAAGCTTACCATATTATAAAAATAAAAATTATAATTAGATCAATTATTCCTAGTTTGTATTAAAAAATATTTGTTGTATTAAGAAATATCTTTTATTTTTTTGACAAGAAATACTTGTTGTATTTTTTTTTTTAAGAGAAAATATGACATTTGTTATATTACCTTTTTTTTTTTTACAAGAAAAAAAAAGAAGATGTTATATTATCTTTTTTTTTTTGCTTGTTGTATTACTTTTTATTTTTTTACAAGAAAATAAGAAAATAATGCTGCTGGTACCTTTTATTTTGTTTTCTTGACAAGAAATATTTGTTTTATTACCTTTTTTTTTACAAGAAAAAAAAGAAGATGTATTGTCTTTTTTGTTTTTTAGCAAGAAATGCTTGTTGTATTCCTATTTATTTTATTTTATTTTTATGATATTATTTTCTTCAGTTTAGTTCTTTTTTAAGACAAAAGTAAAAACCTATCTTCTTTTTATTTGTTTTTTGAGAAAATTTCGTATAGAACCCTAATTCCTCGTATTATTTCATAGTAGACCCTCATTCGGTTTTTCTTTCAAGCAGCATAAGAAAACCCCTAAAGATTTCACCATACCCCTCATTTCTTATCTCCCTCATTTATTGACTTTCGATCATAAAACTTAGCTCTAACAAATCTTTTAATACCATTTCAACCCAAAAACCTTTTTAATGGGTGGAAAGGGAAAAAGATGGTTAAAAACGTATTTGTGATGAAATGGTATAAAAAGATTTGTTGGGACTAATTTTTATGGTCAAAAGTCAATAAAAGAGGAAGATAAGAGATGAGGAGGTGCAGTGAAATCCTAAGGGATTTCCTTATGTAGCTTGAAAAAAAAACAGAAAGAGGGTCTACTATGAAATAATATGAGGAATTAGGATTTTATACGAAATTTTCCCTTGTTCTTTTTTATGATTTTTTTTTTTTTTTTTTTATGAAGACAAAAAGTGAATTGCACAATAGCGTCCCAACTGGGATTCGAGCTTGGGACGTCACACATAGAAACACTGCTGCTAACCACCGTAGCCCTCCACGCACTACTGAAAAGTCTTTTACAATAATTACTCATATTGAATGACTTTTCAACATAATATCGCTTAGCGCAAGTCCCACATCGAAGAATTGGAGAAAGTTTACACGATATAAATATCTTAAGAAAAGTTAAACGTTAACGCGATAGAGAGAAAGGGTACGCCTACGGTCATATTTTGAACAAAATTACTATAATGTCCTCAGTTAAGGACTCGTTCTATGACGTCACAAAGCGTCTGGAATTGCGATTTATGACTTAATCAAAGCGATTCACTATTCAAAATCGTCGATTCTCTTTTAGGTTCGGGCGATTCCTGGTTTTACAAAAGAATCGACACAGGGTGACCGATTTCCGTGTCGACTCGAACGAGTCCGTTGCGACTCGCCAATTTTTAAAACCCTGATCTAAAGTGATAATGAATCATTGAGAATTTACAAGTATCAATTGTAAATTTCTGTGTTTTTAGAGGTTGATTGGGTGAATGAACCTTGATCCATTTGATTTATTCTTTTCATAGAAATCAATAGTTATATATCATGACTTTATCATTCCAAAAACATTTCATATCAAGTAGAATATTGCTTAAGAAATATTGACTCAATGCAAAAGAAAGTCCCACTCTGAGCCAGACACAATTAACAATGGACTGTTTAATATTCGATACGAATGAATAGATAGTAAGCCACTGTACCACGCCAAATTTTATTACTCTTAGTGAAGTTTATTTGCAGAGATCAAATATACCCTCGATTTATAAGATAGCAAATTTACTGCTCAAAGAGAAGACGAGATCCAGACTTCTTTTCTAATAGGCGGCTGATACTCATCGAATGAATAGAGTCAGAGGTCAATGAAAATAAAGCTATTTGGTTCACACATAGAAGTAGCACAGTGATTTCTTATTGGTAGATATTTTACGACAAGTACTTTCTACATCTTTTGAAAGGATTTCTATGACATGTACATCATGTAAGGAAGTAATGATGTAAACAGAGACATACGTATCATTGTGCATTTGTGTGCTTTTAGCAGTTGATTGGTAAATGAAACATGACAATTTCGCATACTCTCAAAGTGTTATTTTATTGTATATATATATATATATAGGTAAACAGAAGAAACTAGCACAGATAATCAAACCTTATCGCAAAGCTTCTGCAACTCAGTCATGGCAGCAGGAGACAATATATCAGGTCGAATGCTCAGAGCCTGTCCAAGTTTTATATATGCTGGTCCTAAAGAGGTCACAATCTCTCTCAGTTCAATGGCCCGCGCGACTTCATTCTAGAAGAAAAGTAGCATTTGATATCAAAACTAATCACAAATAATGCCTTTAAAAACAAGTATCACGCCTCATAGCTGTATCTTTAATAAACAAGACAACAACCACTCTCGATATTTGATTTCAAATGCAGCATTCAACTACATAAAAGTACAAAGAAAATGTATGCGCATGTGTGAATCCCACTGAAACAAACTAGCTTCATGAACAAAAGCCAAACAGTGGGAGCTCTTTACCTCCTTAACCTTCTTGTTAATAACATCCCATAATAACCCTGAAAGAAATCCACCAGCCACCGACAATAACTGAACAATACGTGTTGCGACTGCATGAGGACGTTTGCCCCAATAAGATGAAATAACAACAGGATCATAAACTAAAGGTAATGTCTCGCTGCCTTGAGAATCTGAGACCTGAAAATGTGCAGGTCAATTCATTGCATGAGAAACAAATATCAAAGTTTGGTCCAATACAATAATATCACCTTATAGACAAACATAAATTGAAAGCAATATGGGCAGAACCATAACATACATCCCGAAGCAAATAATTGAGGTGCTTCTATTATCTATTTTTATCCAACAATTCAGGAACTCATCATCGACGGAGCATTATCCCAATTATTTGGGATCGGCTATACGAATATTATGATGCCATTCCACTCAATCAAGGGTCATAACCTCAGTCACACCATAAACCAATATATCTTTTCTCACTACTTCCATCCATGTCCTTCATAGCCTTCCTCTTGCCCTTTTTCCACTTGAACCAAATCACCCCTCCTAACTGGTGTTGTTATAGTTTGACGCAGCACATGACCAAACCACCTAACTCTACATTCCCTCATTTAATCGCCTATTGGAGCTACACTTAAATTCCCGCAAATATATTCATTCTGAATTCTATCTTCCTTGTCTTGCCACTCATCCATCTCAACATCGTCATCTCAACTACACTAATTCTATGGATATGTTATTTCTTGACTGCCCAACATTTCGTCTCAAAAACATGGCTGGTCTTATAGCCATCCTATAGAGCTTACCCTTTAATTTCAATGGTATGCAACGATTACATAAGACTCCATAAAGTATATCTCCACTTCGTCCGCCCAGCTCTAATTCTATGAGCGATATCCTCCTTAATCACTCCTTTCTCATGGATTATCAACCCAAGATATCAAAAATAATCTCTTTTAGTACTTATTGTTCATCAACGTTAACTAATTTGCCGTTTCCGCTCATATTATTACTAAACTTGCATTCCATATATTTTTGTCTTAGTTGAGCTTAATTTAAAACCTTTAGATTTTAAAGCAACGCTTTAAAGTTTTAACTTTGTGTTTACGCCTTCTCTAGTTTCATCAATCAAAACTATGTAATGCTAGAGAAGATTCTCCAAATAATTCAGAAACTCATACAAATTCCATATTCCCACAGACATCACATTGTAGAGAAGATTTAATGCCAGACATGATATAGATATAGTAGGTGGTTCCACAGAAAACCATCAATTGTAGATTCAACAACAAGAATAGTGTAATATAATAAACTGTGCCTGGAATGGCATGAGCACAGGATGAACTATGAGGGCATGAAACAAAACTATGTCACATCCCAGAAATGTGAAGAACCATAACATACATCTCAGAGAAAATCTTTGAGATCAATTTTATGTGTCGTACTTCCACAAAAAACTTAATAATTTAAGAAGCTCTACCATAGTAGGAAACACATGTAGAGAAGATGAAATGCCAGGCATGATGCTCTAAGTGGCTCTGCAAATAACCATCAGTTACGCATTCAATGAAATTGACTTTTAGGGAAAGGCATACTCATGCTTGGAAAAAAAAATTAACACAGATGTTGATGAATCAATAAATCTTATGAAGATTGTTCTAAAGAAGAATGCACAAAAGGAAAAAATGGAAGAATGTTTACAGCACCCACTTGTAACTCATATAGTAATAATGTTCCCCATACCTTTGTACAAATACCTAATATACTAGTCATATTCCCCACAGAGCCCCTTTTTGCCCTGTCCACCCCTTGCAATGCAGTGAGCAAACAGTTGGAATGAATCAGGGAAACCAATATGATAGCCACAGTCAATAATCTAGCAAGGACTGCAACATCATAACAATGTGATAATCATTTCAAGAGCCACTCTAGAGGAGGATAGCCTTGCCCAAAAGCTTCACTAGGTGATCTCACATGCAAAGATGACCTGCACCAATCATTTAATATTGTGAAGCCAAATTAAACTTCTTCCATAACAATCTACTTCACAATATTATCAGTTGCAGGTACCAAATCAAATTCGCCCAAATTATTAATATAACCTGATGATGCAATCAACTTTCGAATAACATAATTTTTCATCCGGATGTCTGTTGGGGTCCAAGCTTAAAACAAAGATCCCTTAGAGATCCATTCCCATTATCTCTATGGCTTTTCGTAATTTGGAAATTTCTAACGTAAATCATCGTTGAACGTTTGTCTTTTCAGAATGGAGTCATGATTGCAATTGGGCTTTCATTTTAGTTTCTTTAAGTTGCTGAGTTTCTAGAAAGTAAGGTTCCAATCCTAGTTAAATAGAACTCATGACTCTCTATAACTACCCGTGTTGGCCCATGGCCAATTCATATTGAAGTTGAGTGATTAAATTGAGCTGCCAATTGCAGAGAGAGACTCTTGAGAGAAGAGATTCCTCAACTATTTTTGTAAAGAAGAGTTGTTCTACAACTTTTCCCTAATTTCAAGGGTCTCCCCAAAGGTTAGAGCCCTTCTTTTAGTGGAGATATTCCATAAGTCCCTGGCTTGTGAGTGGGATGTTCTCCCCAGTTAAGTTTGGCCCAATTTTTCATTCCCCTTTTGTATTGTGTGGCACATCTCCATCCAAGATTCCCCACAAGAAAATTCCTCACCCATTCAAATCCTTTCATAAACCCTAGGTAAATCTCTCCAAACATTAATAAAACATATATTCTAGAATATACAGTTAACTTCATCAAAAACAAAAAACATATATCCTAGAATACAGTAAACATATAGCTATACCCTATAGCCTTCAAACTTAAAGTTTAGATCTCAGATTTGTCGTAATTTAACCCTAGAATCCATCTCATCATCATCCTATCTTGCTGAAACTGCTAAATTCCAGTAATCTTTAACCCCTTAAGAAGCCTTAAAATATATCCTAAACCCTGCCCTAGCCTAACCAAAACCTTCCCCGTAACCCTAATCCTAGGTGCACTTCATTTAGTTCCACCCTAGTTAAGAAAAATTATTAAGGCCCAAAACCGTGCTGCCCTAATCTTTATAGGAACCTAGAAACATTTCGGAGTTATAAATCTAACTCAATTAGAGATTTCCTAATTGTATCCAAACCCTTTCTTAATATACCGTTCTTGAGGGTCACACTTGTGTAGGAGCCAAAGCCCTTGGTCCTACATCACCTGATCTGATATTTTCAGAAATTGAGTCTACTTGAGTCCAAAGCTTGGTCAATGACAATGTACAAAAACAAAGTCCAGAATTTAGAAGTGTGTTTTGGAAGTGAGCTCCTCATAGTCACTGGATTATTATCCTAATAATAATCCAAGTAAACAAAGCCCGGACTTCCAGACTTTTGTTTGAACTGTTGAAGCAGTGATACCCCAATGTTAACGTTAGATTCAATTCAAATAAAGTCTACATTTTCATTTCCAGATCTCCAGTTGTGTGTAAGGCATACTTTTTCTTGGGTCACTAGGGCAAAGGATAGTGTCGCCCCATATATATTCACGATCGAAAGTCCAGAAAAGAAAAGTTGAATCATAATTTTCATCTCTTTTTTTTTTGGGCAAATGATTTTCATCTCCTTCTTTGAAGCTAAAAAGAAGAGCTCGCATACAAAGGAACCATATCAATTTGCATTTACGCAACTTTCTCATAGGAAGAAAAACCTTATCTTGTCCCCAAAATCAGAAAGCATCAATTAAACTCCGTCACTAACAAAATGTAATTTCAAACGAATCTAACAACATGAATCTATCATAACCTCTATCAAAGCAATTCAAACCAACCTCTACAAGTCGAAGCTGGACATCATCAGCAGCGAACAGAGAATCAGACAAATTTTGGCCCCGAAGACCCCTCATAAGAGAAGCCAACTGTTCATCTTCCTCCATCTGTGCCCTAAAGTTCTTAATGTCATCTGAAACATTGCCAAGACTCTGCACAAACATAAATTCATAATAATGGAACATAGTCACAAGAAGTTTCCAAAAAAGCTGAAAATTTAAAACAAAACTAATTCATCAGCCTATGATAAGTATGGCGCAAAATTCAATACGAGAAAAAAGTGGATGTAGCTCCAAATTTCACTAACCAGCAAGCCCAAACCCCAAAGTTCCACTAAAAAATCATAAGAAACTCAAACAAAAACAAAACTTAAATTCAGAAAATCAAATAAAGAAATTATAAGTTGATAACATCATGCTTTTAAACCTGCTGAAACCAAGTATTCAAAGAAAAAAAAACCGTAAGATGAGAGAGAGAGATGTAGCTCAAATTTTCACTTTCTTAAGAAATCCTCACCTTGTAAGTGCCATTCAATTTTGATTTCGTCCCATTCAAGGGTTTTGATTTCATAATCGCCGAAGTTTCAGCGTCAGTTCTTGGCCCAGTGGCAACAGCCCGAATTAAAGTCCTTCTTCGCCTCTCCCTTAAGAATCTATGTTGAAATGCTCTGCAATTCCTTTGCTCCGAGGCAGTAAGAAAGGGAGACAAGCGAGATTGGACACGACGACAGAGGAGATGAGATGCGTCCATTGGTGTATGGAGCACTCTCACTCCTCTATGCTTAGAGAGAGGAAGAGAGAGAACACCCTGTAGCTCAAATGTACGGAGTCAAACAAGTAGAAGGTAGAGAGAGAGTGAAGAGAGCGCAGCTGAGAGGATTACTTGTAGAGAGAGAAAGAGGGGACAGGACTTTTTGTTGACAGAGGGACGGCTGGTCTGGCCGTTGCTCTTGCAAATGAACCAGGAGACAGAGAGAGAGAGAGAGAGAGAGAGAGAGAGAGAGGGAGGGAGAGAGTTGAAACTTGAAAGCTAGAGAGAGAGTTATTTTGGGGGTGTGAGTGTTGAAACTAGAAAGGTCGAGAGAGAGTTGAAATTTGAAAGCCAGAGAGCGAGTTATTATTGGGGGTGTGAGCGTTGAAACTAGAAAGCTAGAGAGAGAGTTGAAACTTGATAGCTAGAGAGAGAGTTATTTGTTCGGACTTGGGAGAGAGTCGGTGGTTGTTGATACACGTAATTGCTGCTCAACCAATCGAAAATGCAGAGCCCCATGTTTTCCATTTTTTTGTGTGGTGCACCCATTTATTGTGGTAAGAGATTAATAATGCCAAGCGCGGAGAATATGCTCCCCTGAGACCATATTGTACATTTGCTCTTCCAGGCGAAACTTGAGAGAAATTTTACACTTGTACCCTTTTAAAAAAGGGAAAGTTCATGTAGAGCCGAGGCTCTAAACAATCAAATTGAAGCCTACATCAAAAATTCCACTAGAAGTGGTTGTTTTGATGCCTAAATATCTTCAAATTGATCATCTCGACATCATAAGCATGGACAAGAGAAAAAAATAGATTTCAAGTTTTGAAAATAGTGTATTTTGTAACACAATTTTGGACTGTCAATTTTCAAGATTTTCAAGTTTTCATAGATCTGTCGATCTATACTATTTTTGAAACTTTAAACTCTATAAATAAGATGAAATTATATTTTAAAGTTATCACAAAGATTTCCAATATTGAAACCATGTTTCTCAGCACTATCTGAAGGTATGCTCTAATTTAATTGTTTAGAGCCTGGGCTCCATAAAAACCTCGCCTTTTAAAATATGAGTGTGGTTTGTATAGTTCCAAGCTCTAAACAATCAAATTAGAGCCCACCTTCAAAATAGTGTCGAGCAATGTAGTTGCAATACTGAAAATCTTTGTGATAGCTTTAAAATATATTTTCATCTTTAATTATAAAATTTAAAACTTTAAAAATAGTGTAGATCAAGTAGATCTATGAAAACTTGAAAATCTTGAAAATTGAGGGTCCAAAAATGTGTTACAAAATGTATTATGTCCAAAACTTGAAATCTATTGTTTTTCTCATGTCCACACATCTTGATATCGAGATGATCAATTTGAGAATATTTGGGTATCAAAACAACATATTCTAGTGAAATTTTTTAAGTGGGCTTTAATTTGATTGTTTAGAGTGTCTGCTCTATATAAACTTTTCCTTTTAAAAAATATAGGGAAAGTATACAATGAGATCATTTACCTTTGGTACAACGTGGTCGCAGTTAATCTTGACCATTGGATGTGAAATTTGATGGTTGCAATTATTTTATTAACCAAGCTTAAAGTTCAAAAGAAATTTTTCCGAACTTTGTGATACACCTAAGTTATCAAATTTCATATATGATGGTTAAAAGTAATTGTGACCTCCTTATACCAATGGTAAATAGTCTCATTGTAGTTTTTCTATAATTTTATATTGAAAATGTATACAAATAGATCATTTGCTTTTTGGTAGGTCGCAATTACTCGTATTCATCATATTTCAAATCTTGTCGTTGTAAGAGTGTCATTTACTAGACCCAAAGTTCAAAAAAACATTCTTGAACTTTTTAAACACACTCCAAACCATCGAATTTCACATCTAATAACTAGAAATAATTGTGACCTCTTTATAATAAAGATAAACGGTCTCGTAGTATATAATACCTTATATATTGTACTTCTATACCTTATTGTTTGTTTTTTCTCCAAATACCCTTACCTTAAGCCTAAAACATTCAAATTATGTCTTTGGATCATGAATTTTGGATATTGACTTTGAACCCTGACTTAATTCATATAAGTTCAAATCTTGAAGATCTAAAGTTGACAATTTCATTATCCCTTCAGATTATAAAGGTCCAAAATCAAGACTCTCATGTTTTGACTATGGACCTTCATGACATAAAGTCAAGAGTTTTAACTTGACTTCGGATCTTGAAAATTCTAACTCAAGAACTTCTTTTTCTACTTCCCACTTTGGATGTTTTGGAACTTTAAGGTCTAAAGTAGGGGCAATTCAAGATACTATAAAAAAGGGAGAAAATATAGGTATGAATGTAAAATACAAACTTTAGGGGATTTTCTCAAACTTGAAAGAGTTACTTAGGGATTTTTTGATATTAAATTTTGCAATCCATGTAAAAGTTATTGGATATTTATTTTCTTAAGTTGGATTTCTTAATCTTAAGTACTTCTTTTTTTTGACAAATAGCAGAGTATTTATTTGAAGAATTTTTAAACACTTAGACTTTGTCATCTATAATTAAACAGCTTCCATTTTACATTTAGAAGTTAAATTTTAGCATGGGTTTAATATTTTTCTGGATTTTTATTAGGAAAATTGTTTCATGCATTGGGAGACGCATTTCTACATATGTGATCCTCTAGGTATAAAACATCCATCTTAAAGATAAATACAAATGGGTGGTCTATCTAAAAAAAGTTAGAAATAACGACCCAAAAGATTTCTTCATAAAATAATTATTTTTAATTTTATTTTATTTTATTTTTTTTTATACTCATGATCTCATTTTATGTCCTTAAAAATTGGGACATAAAATCCATCTCAAAAATATATTTGTAAAAGAGGACACATTTCTACATGGACTCAAACAAACCTTGTCCTTTTTATTATCTCACGGTGGTCTCTAAGTTGAAGAAGTTGACAAAAGCGGCTGCCTTCCCACAATTAGAGGGAGTGAAATTACTCCTTCCTTATGTTACTCGAGGGGGTGGAGTGTGTATGCTTGGCTCCCTTAGGAGCATAGTGTACATCCACTTCTTTAGTCAGAAGACGCCCTTGTCAGAATTTTTTTCAATCTAAATATTTGAGTACTTCTTAAGAATCACTAGATAATTGAGATCTTACCATCCAAAAATTGGATGGTACGTATTCACTCATGATACATTTTCTTTTTCAAGTACATCAAAGGTGCAATTCTTTTTATTGAAGCAAATCTATTGTTGAAGTGGTTACATCCCATATATTTGAGATGTAAAATTAATCCTAGATAGGGTTCTACTTAAGGGAGTAAATGGGCAACATACTCCTATGAGAGCATAATATCTTTTACTAAATGACAAAACTAGAGAAAGTCTTGTAGCGACGGTGGGAGGATAAAATCTTTCGAATATAATTTCGTGTGGTTAGTTTTGTCATTTTCCAAGGGAAAAAGATTAAAAAAAGAAGTAAAGCCTCGCTTCAAAACTCATCGAAAATTATAGTATCAGCATCGGAAAACTTTCAACTCGATCATCTTGACGTTGATTATCATGGTTGTGAAAAAAAAAAAATTAGGATTTTAAGGTCTAGTATACAATGTAGTGTAACACATTATCTACACCGTTCATTTCCAAGTGTTCATGGATCCATAAGATCCATACCATTTTTTGAGCTACAAATTTTATAATTAATAATGGAAATAGATTTTAGAGCCATCTCAAGAACTTCGAATGCTCAAAAAAGTTTCCGACAAAATTTCATGAAGAGGCTTTACTTTTTTTCGTAGAGCCTATTGTAGAAGCTGCATCCTTTGCCGATAATGGTGCAATTAATAGGTGAAATTTTGATTTGAAACACATTTTTTGGACCATCCTTAAAAGAAATGGGGCCTACACTTTGACCTGTCTATTGTGAAATCAACCGGACCACCTTCTTGGAAGCGTTTCCCAAGCAAAACGCCAAGGTCACAGGTCCAACCCAATTGAGGCCCCCTTTTGTTTTCTTTTACTTCTTCCTAGATATGGCTTTAGACTTTTGGAAAGAGAATGAAGGGACAGCAGCTATAACAACCCTCAAAGACATTCCTTAATCCCCTGTTTAGAGTTTCCTCTTCTTTTCATTCTCAACAGTCAATTCTATGGTGTCAACCATCTTATGTTTCATTTTGTTCCTATTTGCTGCTCATGCCTCTTTGATTCCTTCCTCTCAGCTGTTACATGTCTTTTCATTTTGAGGAACTCATTTATGGCATGTTTGGTTCGTGTGAAATTGTTTTTCGAAAAATATTTTCATTTGAAAAATTTATCTCATGTGGTTAAATGCAGAAATATTTTTACATTAATTAGTTGTCAATTTATGGGAAAAAATGCACTGAGACCGATTGATATGAAAATATTCTCACATTTAACCACATGAGAAAAAATTTTCAATATATAAATGATTTTTAGAAAATAATTTTACGTGAACGAAATGTGGCTGTTTTTTGTGCTTCTATCCTTGATGTCTTTGTTGTTCATTTCTTGTATCTTCTCCACTTGATTCAAGGAAGAAATGATTAATTTTAGTTTACAACATTCTAGTCTATGGGTTGGAAACCTTTGATAAATCATTTTATTGGGTATACATATTATGATCCCCCATGATCATATGATATGTTGTTATAGGCGCGATCATTTTCAACTCACATTCGAAATGTATATAAACCGAATAAATTTAGGTGTGGTATGAGTAGACGATAAGATGAGAAAGAGTATATTTAGGTAGGCTGGTCATGTGTGGCACAAACCTAGTACAACACCTGTTAAGAGGTGCGAATTAGTTCAAGTAAAATGGTTGAAAAGGACAAAAGACCGACCCCAAAAGGATGTGATGAGAAGTCGTCCAAAAAAATATAAAGACTTACGATGATGACTCCAAATGTATACAATATACTGGTCATGGGCCGGTCTAGTATATTATTTAGTGTCTAAATTTACTTTCTCCACTTCAAATTTTCTTCTTTGATTTACTTTTCTTTCATTTGATGCTCTTCTATTTTGTTTCTTAAATATCTATTTGGTCTCTTTATCTATCTCATCTTTGGTTTTTCCCTCCACTCTTATTGTAGCCATCCACGTATTTATAGTTTTAAGTGGTCAACACTTACGTTTTACCTAGTAAAATACAGAAACAGTGCTAGTGAGAGTTCATGACATCATATCAACCGTTTTTATTTTTCCAGATCCAGAGCTTCTTCCCATTTTTGAGGCATTTTCTTTTTCCCTTAATTACTTTTGTCCTCTGGAGAATCTCCATTTTAACATCTTTTCGAAGTGTATACAGCATCGAGGCTCTGAACAATCAAATTTGAGCCTTCCTCAAAATTTTCATTAGAAGATGTTGTTTTGATGCACAAATATCTTCAAATTGATCATTTCAACATCAAGATGCATGGACATGAGAAAAAATTGGATTTCGAGTTTCAAAAATAGTGTATTTTGTAACACATTTTTTTACCGTCAATTTTCAAGATTTTCAAATTTTCATATATCCGTCGATCTACACTATTTTTGAAGCTTTAAACTTTATAAATAAATATAAAAATATATTTTAAGGCTATCACAAAGATTTCCAGTAGTGAAACCACATTTCTCGACACGATTTGAATGAAGGCTCCAATTTGATTGTTTAAAGCTTAGGCTCTATATAAGCTGCACCCTTTTTGTATTGAATAATAATCTGGTTCTTCTTGTTCTGTACAAAGATTGAGACTCCTGATTTCTCAAAAAAAAGATTGAGACTCCTACATTAGCTGATTTCAATTGCTGAGTATGTTTACTGCCCATGCTAAATTTCAGTCAACTACAAAAAAAATTCAAAACTCCCACGTTTAAACTATCAGAAAATTTCAGTCAATACTTATGATAGCTTCTGGGGTTGAGTGCAACAATATGTGACGCCTACAAAGCTGAACATTCATTTGCCCTACCGCCAAGATTCAACACCAAAAGAGTATATGTAATACACACCTAAAATTCATTCCATACCTCGTGCCCCATAAAAAAAGAAGGGATTACATTTGGTTAATGTCTCCTCGATTATGCATCTGCAACCTTAATGCCAAGCTCAAGAAAACTCCCTGAAGGATTTGAAAAAATCTTTTATGTTGACTTACAAGCATTCCAAGAGATTCTACACAAGGGAAAAAGGAAAGAAGACAAATGGTACAACTAATTTTTTACCCCATCAATATATCCCAAACCAAATATGAACAATTCTTTCTCCATCCTCTTACAAATCAAACACCAATCTCAGTCGGGGTCTCAAAGTTTCGTTGCCTCTCACCAAAGTAGGAAATCACCCAGTTTTTCCTTGCAAGTAGCATATCTAGCAATGTGGAGTCAAAACCTTCGCTTCTTCTTGGTCAGTGTTCGTTTTGTGTGTGTGCCTTCCTATGGATTCAAGCCTCTTGCTTTCTTCGACTTGCTTTTGTTTTCATGTGCCTTCTTTTTCTTGGCTTCCATAGTGGTCCATGTATAATCAGAGGGTATAGCAAATGGGTCTTGAATATCCTCTACGCGGCTGCTAGGGCTGTTGATCCCTGAAGAGCCTTGGCGATAGGGGACCTTAATCCATTGGAACCATGAGCCATTTGAGTAGTTAGCAGATATGGAGGGGCTCTCCCTACCCACCAAACGACCAGGGAGGGGGCTTGAAGGAGGAGTGCAGAACTCTTCCAAAGGCTGCAGCTCTTCAAACTTGGTGAACGTGACAATAACTCTGATGGTGGGAACAACAGGTATGGCCACCTAAAAATGATTCAAAGGTTATTTTATATGGAGAAAATGATTCAAATTCTGTTGGTCATATGCCGAAATTGGCTATAATGATAAACATAAAGCATTTTTTCCTTTTGTTGGTAAATCATCAAGGAATATATTCACTATCAGACAATGCAAAGATCAGGTAGGATTAGATATAACATTTTCCTTTCGGGTAAATGATATATGATATAACATGTGAAAGTAGGGTTTACAACTTCATATATATCGGATCGCCAATAGATTAGGATGTCGTCGGCATATTAAGTGTTTTTTAAGCTTGCCTCCCACTTATTCTATTGTCACTAGTGTAGAGCATTGGGCCAGTGGGGTTTTTGTACAGGGCACCCACTCTCTGGCTTTGCCTATATCTACTCTTTGCTGGTACCTCTTTATACATATTAATACAAAAACTTATTCAAAAAAAAATTAACTTGAAGTTTAGCTCCTCCTTGTTCTTCTCAAAGCCTATTGGTTGCACATCCCATATTTTGCAGGGTAGAAAACTCTGCACTTTCTTAATTATAAACAATAAGTATCAAACATAAAAATAAATCTACACTTTCTTCAATGTGGGGCAGTCCCCAATTTCGTTTTTGCATACCCACTTAAATAAAAGATGCACCCTTTTTTTGTCTTTTCTAAAATAACTGCTAATGGTAATCAACCAATAAAGAAAAAGAAAATACACCATCAAAATAGAAACTGATAGCCAATCTTGATATCATAATGGAGATATCATTAACACTGACAACTCTGAGATTAATATGATACAGAACTTTCCACATAAAGAAAATCATACAACTTTCTTTTAAAATGATAACTTTTTTATATTAATTCCATTTTTCTGTACAATGACAGAGATGTGTTTTAATGTTAGATTTCTGGAGTTCAACAGATCAGAAATTGATGTTTTTTTCTTTTCGTGGGGGGGGAGGGGAATGGTTTGGAACCAAAAGATTAAGTGGACGGTATTTGAAAGACGATTATTTGAGCTGGTGACTTTGCTGGGTTTGTTGGAGCAACCTTCATCTCTGAGAGAAAAGTACTCAGGCTTGCCCATTAATGAACTTTTGGGGCGTTTGGTACAAAGTGCAATCTCTTTTGTCATGTAGTTTCTTGGGAAGTGATTCATCATCATCATAGCCTTTTTCCAATTAATTGGGATCGAAAGTGATTCTATTCCCTAAATCACCATAACTATCAAGCCTAAGTTCACCCAGATCCGTCCTCAGAAATTCTGAATGTAGGAAAGGAACTTGCACTTTTCCTAATAGCCTCTACCTCAATAGTTTACTAGAGGGCCCTGCAATTTGTGAAATGGCTTTGTAAATGACGGAAATTGGTTTTAATTTTTCAGAGTGGTGTCTCGGAAACTTGAGCTTAGCCATGCTGATTATTGTGCTCAAAGAGTCAACATGGATTGCTATACTATGAGTCTAGGATTGGCAATCAGTTGGGAAAACGCTCTGATGATGATGAGTCAAGGATTGGCAAGTTTGAGCTCGAAGCCTATTTTCAAATCGAAATTAACCCATCATTGCTGTTCACACTACAATAATGACCTAGGTTGGGAAGCCATGGAGCAAGAAGATCCACAAGTCATGGCTAGATGAGTATTCAAGATAAGAAAAATAAGGGGATTGAGGCATCTAAATGCATACATATATTCTTTTTGGAAGCTATTTCTTCTCTCTTGTGGCTGCAACTGGACCACAACAAGGGATTCACTTGTAAAGATTTTGCACACATATGCGAGCAAACAAATTCATGATGTCTGCACAACATATGTTGAAGTAACCATCAATTATGGTATCAACCACATAAACAATTGGTAAGAGTTATGGCAGAGGAAGTGATGTCCTAAAAAGGAATTTATTCTGTAGACTGCTACAGATGTTGAGAATTGATAATAACAACCTAGATTCTCAAATCAGGCACAAGAAACCTGATTGAGTCCGAAATAGCCCTATAAAGAACAAATACTACAATAAAAGGATCAAATTATTCAAGTAGTGGAGCAGACAATTCAGAAAAGTTACAAAAATCTCGGAAAAGTTACAAAAAACCAGAGAAAGTAATATTTCAATAGCGTACCGGGCAGCCTAACTTATGTACTAGCCGAAACGTATATACTAGAATCTGTATGGGTGAAAACCTATAACAGCAGGTTTCCCATTACAAAAAATAATGGGGCAATGGAAGTGGAGAAACATACAAGCACGTCCAGTTGGGAACATGCACAACAAGCATTGTAAATAACCAATAAAAAGATAAAACAAACACCTGAATTTTATTTATTTATTATTTTTTTTGAAACTAACAAACACCTGAATTATAGGAAACTTACACACATATATTGTTAGAGAACATAATAACAGAACCATAAAGCAACCTAACAACCATGCAAAGGGCAGCCTTGTAAAGCCCATGCCTACTCCATTTCACATTTTCTAAATCATTTCCATCAATTGAATTGATCATTCACCTATATCTGTTATATTGATCCTGAAACCGAGGTTGTCCACTTTTCAACAAGTGTGGGTCGTGGTGGAAAAACAAGTTAAGCAACATCTTACGAGTACAAAATCGATTTCTTATCAAAAAAAACCTTTTATATGATATTCAACAATAACGTTGCCCATTTTACCTATGATGTCGAGCTCAAGTCCCATCTTACAAAGCTTGCCAGCAAGGCAATATAAAAGCAGTCACAGCATCTTATTTGAAATATCACGACAAATTCCTTGATGAAAATTTGGAGCTATCCACATAATTTATCAAAAGCAGTCCAAAGAGCGCCTTGGAAATAGGAACACAATACCTTGATGCATCAACCTTCTGATACTATGAAGGATAAAGGAATCCCTCAGCAAGCTTCTATAAATAAGGGTTACTGATAATCAGTGTTCACTTCTACTACTGGATATTGAAATTACTGATAATCAGAAACTGGATATTGAAATTACTTGGATCTGGGGCAACAGAATGCAACATGCTGCCTCGTAGTCACACAATATAATGCAATGATACGTACCGTACAAGACTATACTTGGCTCCACAATCTCCTCCAGAATCTCAATAGTTAGTTACCACCCTGACCGAGTGACAGTATCTAATGTACAATATAATCCACACATACCTAAGTAAGTATGTATGTAAAAGTACATAATAAGATCGATTTTCACTTGGCATGCAACAAAGGTATCTCCAAAATACATACTAACTATAGATATAATTTACTAGCATCCGGTTGACTGGCACAACCCTCTTGCCTCTGAAGTTTTTGCTGCAGCAACTTAAGCCTCAACTTATACAACACATCATGTGTTTCTCGTGCTTTACATCATTGAGAACACTCGTAATTGTGTCACAAGAAAATACTTATGGACATTATATTTTATAGAAATTACTCGGGGATACTTCTTTACGGTCTGTTTCATAGGACCCTAATATCCTAATATTTCAGGATAATGTAGAATCTATTGTAATTCTGATAGTATTATTTTACATGTCATGTTTGACAAGATCAAGCCATATCTTTTAATATTCAAATCACTCCCAAATATCTGAATACCCAATAATTCAACTTGTAGTTGAATTTTAAGGGATTCGATTTCTCCGTCAAATTTTTTTATCTCTTGTTCTCTCAATCTTTTGTCTCCCTCCCTCTCTAGTTCACTCACCCCACCTCTCATTTTCTCTCTCTCTATGCAGAGGAAAAGCAGCAGTGGGTAGAGGGTGCAATCTCTCTCTCTCTCTCATGGCCGATCATCTGCAAGACCAAACCCAGAAAAGGCAGCACTCAGAATGCGAGTAAACCTCTACCTCTAGAAAACCCAACTTTGAAGCTATGCTGCTGTCTCTACTAGTTCTTGGGGTTTCTCTCCATCACTAAAATACAAAAGCATCAGAGATCCTGCTCTTCTCTCCCCTCCAAACACTCAAAGCCGTTCTTATTGATCCGGTACTTCAATCCCCAAAATTGGAAAGCAATAGAAGTCATTTCCACTTCAACAAACCCCAAATTTCAACCACTCGTTCGAGGGTTCAAGCAACCATGCATCTCTCTCGCTCCCTCCCTCTCTAAATTTCCCTTCTATTGGGTTCCATTTTAAGGGTTTTTGGAGCTGAATTTTCACTGTAATGTGTATGATTAGCATTTTTAGATGCTGAATCGTTTCTAGGGTTTGGTGAAATCTTCTCTGAGAAAGTGTTCCAATTGGGTTTGCCGCAGCAATTGGAAGTTCCTGGGGGTTCTTACTCTTGTTCTCTCCATTTTGTCTGTGAAATCAGAATTGGAGTTGGCAGTGAAATTTCGGGCATCTTGTTTCCTTCTCGAGAACTGGTGAAGATCAGTTTGCTGGCTTTGCTCCTGGTTTCAAGGGTTTCTAGAGCTTGATTCGTTCAGTTAAAATTATTTAAAATTCAGGGTTCTAAATTCTGAGACAAGTTGCATGTGAACTGTGAAGTTCCAGTAAAGGCTCTTGCGGGATATGCTGCTTCCCAACATGGTGGAGACTAGAAGTGAAGTTTTTCAATTCTTTGTATGCTATAGCTCCAATGGAGTCTTCTTTCTGTCGATCCTGATATAGAAGAGGTTTATTTTCGGCTTTTTATTGACTTGAGTTATTTTAGTTTGTAAAGTTCTTCTGATACTTGTTATTTATTCTTCCTATAGGTATTTATTCTCGATGGATAACCAATCAAAACATGAATTAATCTCAAGCGTTAGTGATAAACCATCCCCAGCCCTCCACCCCCCCACCCCTTCCAAAAAAAAGATCGCCAAACCATACAGACACATTCATACATGCAAAATAAGTTCATTGACAAGAAAAGCTTCTAAAAGGAAAACAAACTTCTGCCTTATCTCTATATGAGACAAACAATCTATAGCTGATCATAAGCAAACAGTAACAGATAAGATTGCAACAGCTGCATCATCCACGAATCCCCAGCTTGCTAACCAAGTCCCACATGACCTTCTCCACACACCCTTGTTTTTGTAGAGTTAAGCACTCACAAAGAAGGGTTCTGCCCCATACATAAGATGAGTAACTGAAAGTGGGGTTTCCTTTTTGTTGTCAAAAAGGCTAAAGTGAGGACGTGCACTGAACCAATCTGATTTGCCTATTCCCTTACAACTTCGTGAGATCTCAATCTCGGAGGAAGCCAGAGCAAAATGCACACACAAGGTTAGTTATACAGATTCATTATGCAAATCCTCAACTCCATTGAACAGTTATATATAGCCTCCTACTTACTCCCCTATTTGGAGATAGGCCTAATCATGTGGAGAGCTTCAATTCTCACCCCTCTGGGGGTTATTTGGGGAAGAAAGCACCTCCAGAATTTTTCGAGGCACTAAGAGGATAACGAATGCCACAGCTGAAAATGCAAGAGATCTCACTATTTCTTGGGCAATAAATTTTGAAGGAATCAGACTTTTCTCAGCACCATATTTCAGATTGAATTGTGCCAACATTCTACCCTTCAAACCCCTGAGAAGGTCTACATCTACTTCTTACATACCCCTAAACCCACGTGTTATCAAAATTAATGTAGATCTTGGTAACACTGGATTGTGACTACGGGGTGTCCTACAAAATTCACAAGGCAACACTCTATCAAGTTTTTAGGTGATCTCGGTTTGAGGATTCTTCTTGGCCCAAAGCAAATGTGATGTAGCCTAAGATCAATCACATACTAATCTTTGACTACAAGACCCTGGAACATGTTTGGAGAGACCGCTGACCTTAATTTTCATTCTCCAAAATATATTAAAAGAAATTATAACCATAATGCCATGATATCTTTATCAAAATGCCAGTTTGCCATTCCTGAATGAATGAAATGATTTGACCCATACTGGGGGAGAACATCTTCCGAAAGGAAATTCCCAGAACATTATCCTGTGGTCTTCAAGGATGTCCTCTCGTCCTTGGATGTTATCTCACAGTTTTCTATCATATACGTCACTTGTGCAAGCATCCTGGAGTCAACTTCTGCCATACTTGGTGGTACGCCAATTTAACGGCTGATGTTGTGGCTAAAGACGGGGCAAATCTTGGGATATACAGCACTGCCTCATAGTTTGCTTCTCCCTATCATCCTACCAGTTTCTTCTTTCTTCTGTACTACATCTCTCCTTTTTTTTCCTTTTTTTTCCTTTTTTTTCCTTTTTTTCTTTTATTTCTTCCAATTTTACACGTCTCTTTTCTTATCTGCTTCTCCTTACTCCTCTATCGCCCCTTATCTTACCTCTCTCATCTTCGCATCGTTTTCCTCTTTATTTCTCTCATCTCTACCCATACTTCTCTTTCAACTCCCCAAAAAAAGAAAAAACCCAGCGGGCATTTTTCTTTATTTTCCACCTCATTTCTTCCTCTACTCTTGTATTTTTTTCTTCGTTCTTTCTCCATCATTTCCCCTTTCTTCTCCTATTTTATCTATACTTCTCACTACTCTTGTCTCCCTATATTTCTCCTTCCCTTTCTCGGTTTCTCAGACAACTCTATACTATTATTGTAATGATCCCCACCCGTTTGTCCAAAAAGGACCTTCTTATGCTTATGGTTTCTTAAACATTGTACAGTTCTGTAAAGCACCCAACATGCGGACTGCCTCAACCCACCTCTCATGGAATACTTTTGTAAACAAATCATATATTAATATAGTTGCCATCAGTTCCCAAAAAAAAAAAAATTGCTTTTCAATGATTGGAAAATTCAAAACGATAAGCATAGAAAAGTTCTTCCCCGAATTACAGAAACTAAACAAGGGTACCAATCATTGATTTTGTAAGCCTGCAAATTTGGAAAACATTCAGGATTACAGACACTCCACTTAAAAAGTTCTGAGAGGTTGGAATGCTAACTTCTACTTAAGTGATTCTAAGCATGGTTGGAATGCTAACTTCTACTGGAGTGATTCGAAGCATGGTTGCAATGCTAACTTCTACATAGTGATTAAGTGAAGGAAATATTGCAATACACGATTTAATTTCCTTCCTAAATGACAATAAAGTAGTGATTTCAAAAAAATGACTATAAAGTAAAAGAAAGACAGCAACTTTATAATACCAAGAATCAACAGAGAAAAATTCTCAAAAATAACAAGGTTGAGAACATAGCCAGCTAGCCACCAACAACCTATCAGGCAATGCACCAAGTGTATTTTGATGCTTTTCCTTTTTCTCATAACAAGGTTCTTCTGAGTAAAAGCTATTCACATGAACTAAACTTCTGTAAAGGCATAAGAGGAAGGATTTGCCAAATTTGAAGAAAATGCTAGGTGAGAGATACAATCAGAATCATGATGCATACCTACAAAGAATGTTGCTTTGAACAATGCACCAAAGCTAGAAGTCCCAAATCAAAACAGAGAACACAATATAAGCACCAATATAAATCTGAGATTCTTCGTGCTCATAGATGGATTTTATTAAACTAAATAGGAGGTTTTTTTCTCGTATTACAATCAATAAGACATAAGAACATAAGAAGACTAGCAGAAGTCCAAACAAGAAAGTTAGTGAGAAAAATAGAAAATAATATAAGAATTTAGCAAGGGGAATAGAAAATAATATAAGAATCAATGTAACTAAGGACTAACAGTGCGGCATAGAAAGAATATAATCAATCTGGGATCCTTTCTTTATTAATAAACTCAAAAGAAATAATAGTGTGGCATACCTTGACAGGGAAGGTTCCAGGGGGGAGTTTCGTTGTCAGAAGCTCTCTCAAGCGACGAATGGCCTTGACCTTGTTGGCAAGGATATCAAGGAGAGGCAGTAGTTCCTCTGTGCTCAATGGAAAGTTTGGTGAAAGCCAAAGCACAGGCCTCAAGCCTTTCTTATACTCGCTCTCACGATTCCCATCCTTTACTCGTTTATGCGAGCTCTCTGAAGTAGACGCAAACTTCTTCCCATCCTTAGTTTCTCTTACTCTTCTAAATTCATCTCCTCGAACACCAACCTCCACCGAATGCCTACCCGGCCTACTCTGTATCGTCGAATCACCAAGAAGATCACTTACTTTCTCATCCATACAAACGGAGCTTCTCGGTGGTGCAAACTTCTTCGGGTGCCCCTCATTACTCTTCACCCCTCTCTTCCCCCAATGCCCAAACCACCCTTTCTTCTCTTGCTTGACCTCGCAAGAGACACCATCACTATGTTCTCCTCCCTCAATGAAGACATCCCTTTGCTCATAACAACTATGTCGATGGCTCACCACCATGTCTGAGAACCCATCATCGCCATTCTCAGGGGACCCCATCTTCAAGGCCATTTCCAATTGCTTCTTCTCCTCCTCGGTCAAGACATCCTCATACCCCTCACTCTCTGTATCATTCTCATTGCATGTGTTGAAAAACTCATCGTCACTCATGGCACCAGGAACCTTTCTAGACTTCACACTAACAACAACATGGTGCATATCATAGACCTTTGCCTTCCATTGACCAACTGTCTCCGACCTCTCTTGCCTCCGCCATGTTAATTGGGGTAAGAGGACAGCTTGGGTCACGTCAATACCTGGTCGAAACATGTTTGTTTGTGACATTGCCGCCACTTCTTGAGCAACCTCGGCATCAGTAGCACGAATCCCTGCACCATCTAAAGCGTTGGTGACCTCCTTATCTTTGTGAGAAACCATACAAAGAGTGCCTGGAGGAGCCCTCCCATCCTCTGAGCCATCACCAAGGAATAAAACGCTCTGATCCGACCTTTGTATCCGAAGCCCATCAAAGCCTGCTAAAGTCATATCAGCCCTAAGGTTTGATCCCCGCTTCCAAATCTTGTACGTATCAGATGGGGCGATCCGAGAGATGAATGGGATCACTGAGCTTTCGAAATGGAAGGTGATCTCCATATAGAAATCGCGCATTCTCCTCATCGTACCTACCAAACGAGGAAGGCGGCGACACCACTTAGCCCAAGCAAGGGGTTGGTAATGGCGGACAATGGCCATAGCAATGGCCTCCTCACGAGCACAAATGGCCTCTTGCAATGCGCTCCACCCTTGCTCATTTTGTAAACTCCAGTCAGCCCCAGCAGCCATCAAGAGCTCGGTCGATGTCAAGTCACCTAGCTTTACAGCGAGGTGAAGGGGGGTCTCACGATTTGGGACATCACGTCGGTCAATGACAACAGAGATGGCATCCGCCTTCTCTTCTTCCGCTAGAGAGGCCGCCTCAGTTTTGATGGAGGAGGGGTCTGTGGCGAGTTGGGGGAGGTTTGAAAGGATGCGTCTAAGGGCGGCATGGTCTCGGATAGCCACTGCCTTGTGAACAGGGCTCTGGGCGTATTTTGAGATATCAATAGCAGGTGTCGCCATGGTTTGAGTGCTGGGCACACGATCAAACTGGTCCTTCAAAGGGGACCAACTTTGTCTCTCTAGGAACCGACTCTCTCTTTCTTAAGAGAGGTCAAATTGGACTAACCAGAGTCGCAGAATCCAGGGAGAGAAACTGGACTAACCAGAGTCGCAGAATCCAGGAAGAGACTCCCTGTTTCTCTATCCGGGGTCAAATAGATCAAACCAGATTAGCAAAATCCAGGACTCAACTATTTCTCTTTCTAAAGCCGAATTGGTCTAGCCAGAATCACAAAATCCAGGACCCAACTCTGTCTCTCTCTAAAATCAAATCCGTCTAACCCAAATCGTAAAATCCAGGAACAAACTGTATTTCTCTAGTTCTCTCTTTCTCTCTCTCTAGGGTCAAATCAGACCCAGCCAAGTCTTTGTTTCTGCCTCTCTCTCTCTCTCTCTGGTCAAAATGGACCGAGCCAAGTCTTTGTTTGTGCCCCTCTCTCTCTGTCAATCCAATTCATAGATTTGTGGAGAAAGTTCTTCAGCAGATGGTTAGGTGTCAGAGGGATACCATTAGGGAAAATGACGGAATAACAGAAACAGTAAGAAAAGGAACAGTTTTTCTCGCTTCCTCTCTCTAATTTCCTTATGTTACAGAGAAGTTATTCAGCAGATACTTTTGTGTCAAAGAAATAACATTAGGGAAAACAAAGAAGATAACACGAACAACAAGCAGAGGAAAGACAACAGGAAAAACACTACCAATTCCCAGAATACGCAAAAGGCCAGAAAACTTCACAATAATGAAGAACTCCACCACCCCAACTGATGAATGGGGTCAAATCAACTGACAAAAGTCAACAAATTGGAAAACAAATCCCTAAATTTTTGCAGGAAACCTCGAAACAATGGAACCCAAGTCAAGAAAACCATAACCCAATCAAGATACGAAACAGTTGAATTATGTAACAGATCTTACTCCTTTACCAGAGAAGGGAAGGATACAAAAAAAATGATAAAAATAAAGCACCCCAATAAATGTAGTGCGCAAAGAATCAAAACATTACCATAAAAACCAGAACCCAATTAAGAGAATCCACTGTAAAAAATAGAAACAGATCTTAGGGCTCGAAAAGAATGGGAATTACGGCAAAGGGAGGGGACATGAAGGAACTCCCGACAGGCAAGGAATCTACGCAAACTTCATGAGAATCAAAGACAAATGAAGTAAAGCGAATCAAAGACAAAGGAAGTAAAATTCTGAGTAAAGAAGAAGAGATGGAATATGAATAAAGGTCAAAAGGAAGAGACCCATATTTGTTACTGTGTTATTAAAGAAGAGATATTAGAAAGAGAAATGGAAAGACCCACACCATGGAAGAAGCCCTAGAGCAAGAAAGGAACAAAAAGAGGGACAAAGAGAGAGAAAGAGAAAAGTAGGGGATCATGTATTTTAAAATCTGAGCAAATATTTAAAGGGGAATGTGGGGCGAGACTCACCTTTTGAAAGCTTCTCTCTCTGATATGAAGATGGTGATGGGTTGGGTTGGGTTGGGTTGGGTTGGGTTAGGTAGAGAGAGAAAGAAGAGAGAGAGGTCGGCTCATGAATGAATTGGATCATGATAACAGACTCTGGTGCAGGAAATTGGACTATAGTTGCACATAAGAAAAAATGAAATGGCATCATTGACCTCTCTTGTCTTTCTCAAAGGAAATGTGCATAGCTATAAATGAGCACAAACACCACTTCCTCAATTGGAACGGCACGGTGAAAAAAAAAAAAAAAGAAAAAAAAAAAATGTTAAAATTTTTTATTTAAATTATTGAAAATAAATTTCAAACTTTCTAAAACCTCATTCATATCTTTTTAGGATAAGTTGACAAAAATAGCCATTATAGTAGTCTTTGAACTAGAAAAACATCAAGGCGATTGAAAACTTTGATAATCATGACGGTTGTAAGTTAAATGTAGTTTTGAAGCATTACGATACTTAAAAAACGGTTATACTCTTACCTATGCATCACGTTGTAAAATAATCATGATGATCTTTCAACCCTTAGCGACCATCACAACTGTTAGTGTGGTGATGCCTCTTAACGACTATCACAATTGTTGAACCCCCATAGCCATCACGGTAGTGAGTCCACTGTGATGTTTTTATGAATCTAAGATTACCATGAAAGCTATTTTAATGAAAATAAAATATAAAATGTGGAGAAAAGAGATATAGATGAGATTTTGGGAAAAGAGATATTGTTCTTTCTATGAATCCGATATGGACCCTTAGTTTAACTTTCACTATAATTTTTTAAAAACCGGTCCAATTGGGTGAACCACGTTCATAAATCTGGGCAGGCAAATCTTTGATTAGAATCGGCAAATCAAACACAAATTTTAGCATGAAAATCAATCTATACAAAATAAATAAATAAATAAAAATAATAAAAAAATATAATGGGTGAAAAATAGGCGATCCACTCGATCCAAATCGCCCAATTCCCCGACAAACCGAATCGCTCAATTCCCCGACAAACTCACTCAGTTCCATAGAAGACTTTAGTTCCATATGATGGAACACGTTCACCACTTTAGCAGTAAACTAGGCGAACCAGAAAGACTTTAGTTCCATATGATGGAACACGTTCACCACTTTAACAGTAAAATAAACGAAATCTACAGCAAAAAAGAACATATTGTTCCTTTTTCATTGATAAATTCTTTAGCCAGTGGACAATAGGTTTCCTCTTATTAGAGGAAATATATCATCAAAATAGACAAAATACTGCAATTAATGAGGTAGATAAATTGCCACAATTGACAATAGTTGTTTTTCATGTCATACATTAAGGCACCATTTCAATATTTTATTAAAAAATTACTAATTTGTTCTTGTTAAGTGTTTTACTCATTTAAGTTAAAATAGTCCTTGTTGTATGTTTAACGTAATTAAGTTACTCGAGAAATGGAGAAAATGGATTGATAAGGCTACAGCCTTATCAAAATAAGTAAAGCATCACGTCATAACTCATCAAAAATTACAATTCTAAGGGTTGAAAAACCTTTAAATAGATCATCTCACCTCGAACATTATGGTTGTACAAAAAAATTCAGATTTTAAATTCTTAAAATAGTATCTCTTGCAACAAATCATTTAGGTCATCTATTTCGTCCCAAAAATAGGTGTTTATATATATGCAAGATCTGTATCATTTTTTGAGTTTCAAAATTTATTGCCAATGTTGGAAATTAATTTTAGAACCATCATGAAGATTTTCGGTGCCAAAAGTGCTTTCTGGATGAGGATTTGTGGTGAGGCTTGAATTTGTTTTCATAAAGCCTATGCCTTATAAAAACTTCATTTGGATCTAAATAAATTCAGGAAAATGGTTTTATAGGACTGCTGTCGTATCAAAAGAAGTAAAGCCTCACCTCATAACTCATGGAAATTGCAATTCAAGCATGAGAAAACCTTTTACATAGATCATCTTAGCTTGAGCATTATGGTTATGGGAAAAAAATAGGATCTCAAGCTCTAAAAATAGCGTATATTGTAACAAATTATTTAGATCATCAATTTCTCCCTAAAAATAAGTGTTCATAGATCCAGAGGATGTGTACTGGTTTTTCAGTTTCAAACTTTACTGTCGGTGTGGAAAATTAATTTTAGAGCCATCATGGAGATTTTTCGTTGCCGAAAGCACATTTTAGTCAAGATTTTGAGGTGAGGGGTTTATTTCATTTTCATAAAGCCTGGGCCTTACAGATATTTGAAAGTCTCATCCATAACTTAATCGAATGTGTATACTGACTTTTAGTTTATTACATGTTTTTCATTGAATTTTGAAAACTTTTATTTTAGTTTTAGAACTTAAAACAAGCTTGCACATTTTGTCTATTTCTCTCCCTAATTCTCATAAAACAAAAAACAAAAAACTCCTATCTATTTCCGGTTTTAAACCTAGAACAAGATCAATATTATAATTTTTATATTTGTGGATTTAGTTACTAAGGTAATATAAGTTTGTTGGTCACTTGTCATAATTAACAAAATGTAAAACTTGTAATAGGTTATTCGGCTTAAGTAAATTATTTGGCTTAAGTAACGTAAGTGTCCTAGCCAAAATGTCTTGGCTTGCTCGGAGCTAGAGACTCAAGATACAACTTGGCTATTTTCCTAATAAAATAAAATTGAAGAGGTATCTAAGTGAAATGAAATTAAAAAAAAAAATATTACAAATATACTTTAATTTTCACCTAATTAGAAAAAAAACTCTCAACTTTTATAAATCTCGTCTGCACCAAATTTCTTCAATTTTGGGTTTTTTTTTTAACTACCGTAATGTTTGGCGCATTTTCACAAGTCATCTATAATTGGTATTAATTGTGAGGAGGAGGTTATTGATGAATTGGCTAGTGTGATGGGGTGTAAAGTATACAATTTTTCAGAAACCTATCTTGGGCTTCCCATCTCTGACTCGAGGCTTCCTTTGGTAGTTTAGGATAAAATCCTTGAAAGAGTCCAATCATGACTTGATGTTTAGAAACATAAGTACCTATCATTGGGAGGTAGAGTGACTTTGTTGAGGGCTTGTCTGACCAGTCTTCTAGTTTATTAGATGTCTGTGATTCATATGCCTGCCTCGATTGCGAAGAGGATTGAGAAAATACTGGGGGAATTTCTGTGGGTTTCTACTTCTGAGGTCAAGAAATTTCATCTTCTGAGATGGGATAGAGTTTGTACTGTAAAGAAAGAAGGTAGTTTGGGTATACGGATAATTAAGCTGGTGAATCAAGCTTTGATGTGTAAGTAGTGGTGGCGCAGCCTTCAATTTAAGGATCACCTTTGATACAGAGTCCTCATCTCTAAGTATGGTATGGACAGATTTGGTGTTTGGTTGGGGGCTGGTAGAGGAAAAGATAGTTGTCGATGTGGAGATCGATTACAAACTATGATATGAGGATATTTTAGACGAAATCCAGGAGATGGTTACCAAATTTCCTTTTGGCACTATAGATGGATTGGAGACTTTCCTCCTCTAAAGTTTGTTTTCCCTGATCTGTTTAGGATTGTTATGAGGCCGAATATATTAGTCAGTGAAGCTGTGGATAGAAGGGGCAATAATCTCTCATGGAACATTCAGTTGGCCTATAGCCGACTAAATAATGTCCTTCTTTTCCAATGGTACTCTCTTAAAGAAATGTTAGATATGGTCTATATTTCACAGAATGCCATGGATGAGTTGGTTGGGAGATTGAAAGTGATGATGTTTTCACTGTCAAATTTTGCTATAGTCTATTCTTTCATGATCGATGGAGATGATCATGCCCCCAGATTGTTCAGATTTGGAAGTGGCCACTACCCCACATGGTACAAGCATTCATCTGGTTAGCTGCTATGAATAAAGTTTTGACCATTGATAATCTGATTAAAAGGGGAAAATTTTTACCTAATGTATGCCTTCTTGGCAAAGCTGATGGTGAATCTGGTGCTCACCTTTTCATCCATTGTTCTTTTACGGTGAGAATCTGGCATTGGTTGTTTGATGTTTTAGGTATCAACTTAGCACTTCCTCAATCGGTGGAAGGGGTAGTTTCACAATTATCTCTTCCTCATTTACCCAAGGTGGGTAAGGCCTTATAGAAGATTGCTAAAGGTGTGATCCTATGAGAAGTTTCAAAAGAGAAATAGGAGGACATTTGAAGAAATTTCCATGGCTTTGACAGACTGATTTATACTATCAAATGCTCAATATGGGCGTGGCTTTCAGTGTTAAAGGAGGGATGGGGTATCACGAAAGTGGATGTTATGGTAAACTTACACAATCTCTTTACTCTTGGTTGGGTTAGTTATAGACCGAAAAATATATGGATTACGCCTCAAGCAGGTTCTTTGAAATTCAACTTTGATGGCAGTTCTCTCGGCAATCCTAGTTTAGTTGGAATCGGGGGAGTGGTGTATGATCATATGTGTAACCTCATTTTTTCTTATGCTGGACCAATTGGTATTGCAACTGCTAATTATGCAGAATTAAGAGCGTTACTCGAAGGTATGAAAGTTATTACTATAAGGAATTGTGGTAACAATTGTTGGATTGAAGGGGATTCACTGAATGTTATTAAATGGTGTAACAAGGAGCAACACGTGCCATGGGAACTCCGACCATTATGGTTGCAGATCTTAGATCTTGTTACCTCTTTATCGGTCTCCTTCTCTCATGTTTTTCGAGAACCTAACTATGTAGTTGATGCTCTAGCTAAGGGTGGTTCCTCTTTACCTTCCCTTGTCATTGCTAATGATGTAATTTCCTTTCCTTAGTATTCAATAAAGGTAGTAACATTTGTCAAAAAAAAAAATACCATAATAAAACCAAGGATTATTACGGTACTCGAATTATCGTAAGACTATTGCGCCTTATAAACCCTAAGGAAACCCTATTTTCATTGTAGTTCTATTTTACTGTTTTAGGGTGACGTTCTTCTACTTTGCTTCAAAATTTCTTGAGGCTCAATCTCTCACTGGTCTCTTTTACCCTCATTTCCCTTAACTCATCAGATTCTACTTTAAGGT